TATATATATATATATATATATATATATATAACGCGTAAATGTGAATGCGTGGACCACATTGAGGATTCAACACATTCGAGATTATAGCTTCATCCGTACGGAACTAGAGAAGAAAAAACAAAGAGATAAATTGTGAAACGGTGGTTGAATTTGATAATATATGAAAAATTAAATGTGACACGACATATATGGTCGATATATTAATTAGACTCATTAATTAATCCCCGTTTCTTTCATAACTTTTTTGTGTCTCTATTCCCTTTTTTCTATGTGTATTCACAACAGCGACATGTATCGTCGTAATGCATGCACGTATATAATGCACGTAACATGTGATCATTTAACCCTAAATGTCTAAAAGTTCCGAACGATAATGTTTTTTAAAAATCGATTACCATTAATCCAATCCGAACCGAATATAATATAAACAAATCCACAAAAATCCAAAATTCTTTGACGAAATATACTTTTTTTTATAAATAAAAACAAAAAATGAACCGAATATAATAACCAATTTATACAAATTTTAGAACGAAATAACCCGAACCGATCAAATATTCTACCGAATACCGGAACGCCCACCCTATTTTTTCCGCCTAGCTGTAAGATGTTTTCGTCCAACCTATTAAAATTCAAAGAAGAGCCTTTCTAATGGTTAAAACGATCGTATATTTTATAGCTTCAGTTCATCATTATATCTAATTTCGAAAAAAAAGAGAGGGTAAAAATAGATATAAGATAAAAATTTGAAGGTAAATCCATGGAATTAATGAATTATTATTATTATTATTATCAGTCGTTGGTGACATACGTACGTGCAGTTGGGATTTCTTAATATCGCATGAAAGACACGTAAGCATGTCTTTTTAATTAAATTTGGTAAAACATGACTATATGCATGCATGGAACTGCATTAAATAATTAGTGATCCCTAACCAAATACTTATGCAAGAAAATTCAAAACAGTATTTAGCCATATTTAATAAGAAAACTTGTCGATTTTTAGAAAATTTAAACAAAAATATTTTATTGTTTTGTATTTTTTTAAAAAATTTAGTTCCGGCAGTAGTTAATTGATTATTTGGGCCACTCATCGTCGGACTTATCAATTTCTTTAAAATATTCAGAAATTCAATAATAAATATTGTTATATCTCTACATGATATAATAACGTGAAATTCTAACTCACGTATTTCATGGTCATATGAGCCATTAATTTACGATTTTTTTATTATTATTTGTTGAGTCGTCCATGCCAGATTTGACCAGAAAACATTTCAAAAGGTCGACTAAACCCGTTAAGGATTTGTGATAATTAATCAATGGAATATGTCACGTTTAACTAGTATCCTTAATAAAAACATTATGTTATATCAACAATATATTTAACAAATTCAATGAACATAAAAAATAAATAAATCCCAATGAAGTTAAAGAAACTTGAATATATTCAAGTTTTACCAAAAAGAAACATGAATATATATATATATATATAATTTATAATTTATAATTTATCCATGTTTGCATCTAAGTTTATGCCTACGGTTGTGGATAACAACAAAAAATGGTTATATATATATTTTAAATCCCAGAAAAAGCATGGCTAAGTATATCCTGCTTGCTGATTTCCATTTTAAGAGCAATGAACAAGGATAATCAAATTAATTAGTCACTAATCATGTAACCAGCCATCGTTTGACCCGACAAATCAAATTTAAAACTTAAAAATAGAAAAAAAAATCAAATAATTCAGGCGTTTCAGATGACCCAACTGACTAATTCAGAGGGAAAGTATTCATTTTTTTATTCAGATAACGTTTGGAAAGGAAAGAAAGTCTCCCCCGCATCTGCCCCGTAATAATTCCACTTGGAATTGAATTTCTCTAGAATCGAAAAAAAAAAAAGCCAAAACAATTTAAAATAATTGCTAAAAAAAAACAAAACGTCTCTGCCAAAAATCTCTGACCCGAGAGAGAGAGAGAGAGAGAGAGAGTTAAGTCACAAAATCAGCATGTGTACGTCGTTTCTCGAGTGGTAAACATATATTTAATAAAGGCAATAAATAAATAAAAAGAAAAAATAGTTTTCCTTAAAAAATAATTTAGGTAAATTGGGATTTTGGAAAAACTTATCTTATATATTAATGTCCGAAGCAGAAAGGGAAAGACATAAAGGGTAGTATCCAAGGCCTCCTCTCTCCCTCTCTCTCTCTCGTGATTCCTTCCTTTTCAACTTTTTCAGTTACTTTACTCTCTTTTTTTTCCCTCTCCTTTCCTTTCTTTGATTCTCTCATCATACACACAGATTCAAAGACGTGTGTGTATATATATATATATATAGGGTCGTGTGGAGATTCATGCATTATACCCACAGAGATTGAGTAATCAGAATCAGGGTCGGAGGGGTCGGTTCTTGTTGTCTGATTTGATCAAAGACAATCATCTCTGTCTGTTTGGTTGCCGAGAAAATCTGGGTTTGTTTTTTTTCTGGGTGGTATGGCGATTCAAGCGCAGTTGAATTACGATTCTCGGACTGCCAACAATATCGGGTTTCCGTTGATCGGAGGCGGGTCGGAGTTTACGCCGATGAATAATGCCGGATTCGGACAATCGTTCGTCAATCTCCAGTCTCTCAAAAGCATGAATCAGCAAGCTCTGTATCATCAACAGTGCCAATCCCAGAGCTTTTTCGCTGCCCACATGGAGAAACAGAGGCAGGACATCGATCATTTCATCAGATCGCAGGTTTGTGATCAATCTCAACCCGAAAAGGTTGAATCTTTCTGGGTTTTTTTCCGGTTTTTGAATCATGGGCACTGAGATTTCAATCTTTATTCTCTCTCGCAGAACGAGAGGTTGAGGTTCGTGTTGCAGGATCAGAGGAAGCAGCAGACGGAGATGATCCTGAGAAAGATGGAAGCGAAAGCTTCGTTTCTGATCACGCAGAAGGACGAAGAGATCGCGAGAGCTTCGAACAAGAAGATGGAGCTCGAGGCTCTGTTGAGGAAGATGGAGATGGAGAATCTGACGTGGCAGAGAATGGCGCGAGAGAACGAAGCCATGGTTGAGACGCTCAACAACACGCTCGAGAAGATCAGGGAGAGAGCCTGTTATCCCGCCGCGGCGGAGGCGGCGGAGGATGAAGGGTCGTGCTGCGGCGGAGGAGAGAGTTTCCCGGCGGTGGACTGTTTGGACGGCGAGAAAATGATGAGCTGCAGGAATTGTGGGAGTAGTAATGGGGAAACGTGCGTTCTGATTCTGCCATGTAGGCATCTCTGTTGCTGCACGAAATGCGAAGCGAGTCTCGATCTTTGTCCAGTTTGTAAAACCCCCAAGAAAGCCACCATTGAGGCCTTGATTTTCTAGGAAAAGCTTCTAAAATCGTATAATTTTCCCGAGAAAATTTTCTACTCCCGAATCTCCTCTTTTTTCCCCGACCAAAGAACGAGATGGGTTTCTCCGACGAGGCCATAACTATCATTGGGAAACCGCAATACTGTAGATTTCCGAAAGACCAACGTTTTCCCGTGTGAAAATTTGATGTCATTTTCCGGGAAAATTTTCCAAGGGGGTAGGAAAATCGAATAGTAGTACGTTAACCACAACCCATTAAATTTCAGACTTCTTCAAAGGGTTTTTTTGTTCCATAATTTCTTAAAATTTATGGAGGATTTCGTAAATCTCTTAAGCATATTTTCAAAATTGGAAGTGGAGGAAAATCAATCAATCAATCAACCAGTTTGAACGGAGCATATTTTCCTCTAATGGTGCGGTGACTAATGCCCGATTTTACCTTTTGGATCTTACAGCGTGTTTTTTCCTCTTTACACTTTTTAACCCTTTTTCCCCTTATTTTCTGACTAAATTATTATTATTCGTACACGTTGTTGGATTTCTCAAATGTAAAAAAAAAAAAGCGACAATAGGAAAACGAAATGGTAAATAGTAATGTGAAAAAGCAAAAAAAATAAATAAAAAAAATCAGACAATGCCTGTAACTGTTCACTGTGGGAGCTTGTACTTTCCTAGATTGTGAAACTTGTTTCTTTTAACCACTCCCCCTTCGTCATTATCGTCTGACAGTCTCTGTTTGGACATCTCTTCGTATTTATATATATATATATATACACACACACGTATACAAATATACGTATTTTAGTGCATATCCAAAAACTGTGACACTATTTTGGATTTATGAATATGTCTACGACAGTGGTCGTGGGAGAAAACTGTTCATATCAGCCCTATAATTTCATACCCTACCATTCTTCCGTACTAAAAATCACATCTACAACTATTATTATTATTATTTAGAAATTTAGCTATAATATTATGCAAATGTAGCTTCCTATACAATTCATATATGCCATCCACGGGCAGAAATAGAACAATTATTTGTTCGATATTATCCAATAAAATTAGGAAATTTTGGTTTATATGGGAAAAAGGTCCACATATCAATTAAACGAATCTTTCTATACTTTCTGATATTTTTTTTTCCAGTTGGTAAAACTCCTTTAAAGACTTTTAAATTTTAATTCTAGAAGCAGAAGAATTATTGTTTAGCCGTTGAATCTCTCCCTAATTTGTTGAAAGATTAGTTGGAATTATCTAATAAAATTTAAAATCAAATACAAACCGCATTAGAATTCATCACATGTTATTGATAATTGATTAAATCGTTCGAATTGATCATTCATATATATATATATATATATCGGAAAAAAGGCTGTATGTATTGGAGTAGGCCCATAATTGTGGGCCTAATGGGCCGAGAAGATTTCGAAAAAAGCTGACGGTGATGTGGGTGGCGCGTGGACTTAGGGTTAGGGCCACGCGTTGTCCAATTTGGACCCAGTGCCATCAAGTTTCGTTGATCCGAGATAAGCTTCTCCAATTAAGTTTTCATCTTCCTTGATTGGGTGGGTCTCTCTCTTCATCTTCCCGATTCGATTCGGCCGATGGGTCGAACCCTAATTCGGGGATTCCCGCGCGGGTCGTCAAGGGAGCTTCTGAGCAGAGAAAGGTACCGAATTTGTTAGCAACGTAAAAACTGAGAGTGTCTTGATTTACTTCACAACTCCGGTCGTTGGCGGCTGCGAAAAATTTTGGATGAATTTTGGGTGGGCGATTTAGGGTTTCATGAAGTGGTTTTGACTTTTATTATACGAAGACGATTACGAGAGAGAAAAAAGTAAGAATTTCGAGGGTTGCTAAGGGATGAACTTGATGGTGAATGTCCTTGAATTGGCGCTTTAAGGGAGCATAGATCCTCACGTTAACTTTTAAGATCATATTAGAATTACGAGTTCATCAGCAGCTTGAAGGTTCATGGAATCTGATGCTAGTGATTCACCATTCATATTTTTATGGTTTCATTCTGAAAAACTCGAACTCGAACTCGTCTGCGATTCACAGCTGCATCTTTTGTTGGATTCCGATTATTTTTCTAACTCTTTTTCCACATTCCTTTAGTTCTGTCTAGGTAAAATCTCTTCGAATGGAACTCTTATGTGATATAGATAGTACATACTCCTTGTCCGTCCTGTTCACCTTCAAGCAGTGGGGGGGTTCCTTTCATACTATCGTCAAATCTTGATGGCTGGTATGAGCTCGGGTAGGAAGGCCGTGGTAGGCTGATGTAGTTCAAATCCATCTTGTTTCGGCTTGTGGGATTTTTACAAGGCATTGTGGTGTTAATCCATTCATGATTTTCGGGCTTTCCTGTTTTGCTGCCAATGGGATGTATTCGGATATGTGCGCAATCTGTGATTTCTCGGCCAGATCGTAGATATCTACCGGGACAGTCATGCTAATCTCTGCCATAAACGGGCTTTTTCTCGACCAGATTCTTGCACCGCCTTGTTTTGCAAGTTTCCAAACCGCTGCGATAACTGGTCCGTGCAGCCATAGGAAGCAAACGCCTCCGGACTGAATTACTGAACAGTGCATTGGACGGGATTCTTTGCGGGTTCTCTGTATTACGGTCTCTGGACCCCAATCCACATCGCTGCCCGCTTTCGATAGGACGGAGACCAGAATGGAGGGTTGCAGCCGTTGGAGTCATCTGGGGATGTGGCCATGATGCGGGTCAAGTGGATCGGCTTTCTCATTGAAGCCATAAGAGGAAGACGGAGGATAAAAACCTCGACCCGAAAACAAGATTAGGGGTTTTGCAACATTTGCAACGGGTTTCGTTTCTCGGGTTCCACCCGATGATGGTAGTGCCTGCATTTTTTGCCTTCAAGATTAGCAGGGGCTGCATTTCTTGAAATGCTCTTGGTTGGTTGGCACTGGCAATCGCCATGGGAAGCCTAAAGCCTAATACTGTGTTCATATGTTCTGGCAGCCAACCATTGAAAGAGAATGCCATTACATCATTCCTCATCACCTTTCAGGTCATGTCTGAAACTTGTTATGTTTTTTTGTAGAATGAGTTACGATGTTGGATTGTTTTCGTCTGTTTCCTGTCTTGATTCATAATAGAACACATGTTCTTCTCGTAGATATATACATCGACGACGACAGCATTGCTTATACAGTGTAATGATATATGTATGTATATGAATGTATATAGAGTCTCGAAAATCATTCATTAGGTTGATAGATGGGAATTCGTTGGTGAATAACATGATGTGAAGATATGGAGGATGACTGAAGAAGGGTCTGGAAGAATCTAGCCGTTGTGGGATTACTGTACACGTGGCAAATTCTATAGGGTTTTAGACACAGACACATACCGATAAATGGGCCCCACTGGTGAAGACACTGACCTGGCATTGCCCATCTGATGTGGTAAAGTGACGTGGACGTGTCTGGAATTGGAGATAACGTTGGCAAACGGCTATGGCGACACTCTTTGGACATCCTTCTAAATCTATAAATACAAATAAAAAACAAATAATAATACTAATAATTCAAAATTATGTCAAATTATCGAAATGTATATGAATAATTAATTCATGGTTCCTATTTTAAATGCAATTATTTCTTTGCTTTGCCACCATGTGTTGTGATTTTAGAATATTCATTTGCCATCTTGCAAAAACATTAAAGTTCTTCAATCTCCGATATGCGGTCCAAGCCTTCAAAGCATTTAATATTTGGTTTATTTATTATTAATTTAGATGTTCATGTTTGTGTCCATCGTCTTATTTCAAGCATGCCATTGTCATTATGCTAACTGGTATGGTTTATTTTCTATTTCTACAAACAATTCCATAAGGTTACGATTTTATTGGTTACAAAAAATAAATTAATATGATTATTTAAATTCGTAATCATACTAATTACTAATTAGTGGTAAATGATATAACCAGATAATATATTAGCTGGTGGAGAGGATGTGCCCAAGACACATCAACCCTTGATGCTTTTGCCAGCTGTCACCCACGTGATCCACAGTTCATTTTTTTTTTCCTTCAGATCTTTTTAATTAATTTTAAAAAATTAAATTTGGTCCCAAAAAACATTAATCACATTTATCTAATAATAATAATAACAACAATGAAAGAGTTGAATCAAAGTAATTTTATTTAATCTCGACGGAATCTTCCTGCAATAATCTAATATTTTCTACTAAAATTAAAATTAGAATCTTTCACGTTTTTCACATAAGTTAGAGTTTAATTTGATTTTAATTATATAATTGCTACTAATTGATGTATTCTTTAGGTTAATAAAATATATTCATCAGAGTTCTTATAATAAAAATACCACGAGATATGCAAAAAAAAAATTGTAATTCTACAATTGCGATATTTAAATGGGTTTATTTCGATTTAAAAAAAAACATCATTATCACAACAAAAAGAAATATAATTATGTTCTATGATTTCAAATCGAGCTATCATGCATTATTGTTACCTTTACAAAAAGTGGAAATGCCAGATAGTTCCCCAAAGACGAATGATTTGGAATCAAATATTTCCTTTGTCGCAATTTATTGGCACAACGAATATTATTATATTTTATCTTTGTATGCATGGATTAACCTTTTTATTACGTTTTTTATATTAATGACAAATAATAGTTAATGGCTGATAATGGTGGATATGGACAATATACGATTATTAATGAATAAAAAAATAATTAAAAGGCAGTACTGAAAAAGACATTTGACCGTGGTCTGTTTTTTTTTTTTAATACAAATTGAATAAAAGTAAATTTCTTTTGTCTTTTTGGGCCAAAATGGGTAATAATAATTATTTGAAATTAAATTAATTATAGGCTTCCTTTTTTGTATAGTAGTACCGTGACTACTGTCCCTATGAAAACCCTCCGCATCATTTAATAATTAAAAAAATTCAAACTGCTTAATAAAAACAGCTAATCATAATATATATACACACACAGCCCAATATACCATTGTTAATGCATAATTAGATAACATATAAAATAAAAATAATTAGAGATGAAAAAACGAGCCGATTTAATTTACTTTAATAAAAAAAGACAAAGATATAACCCTACACCTTCACCTTATATGATGAACCCTCACATGGCCTCGCTGTAGCATATAGGCCCCCACCACGCATCTCTCTCTCTCTCTCTCTCTAATTATAATATAATAATATTACGCCTAACATTTTATGGAAAAAAATGATATATATATATATATATCTTAATGGTGAATTGGGGTTAATTTTTTTATTTTAATTTTAGGTTTTAGTTTATATTTAGGGATTTAAATAAATATTTAAGAAAAAGAGCTGTGTTTTAGTTAAGCATATTTCGAAGTATATTAAATTAATGTTGACAGAAATTCAATCGCTCTAAAAAAGGGGTTTTGATGGGCAAATAACCTTAATTTAATATTAGTTTTGAAAGTATTGGATGTTTGGATTTTGTTAAGGGAATTTTATTTATTTATCTATCTTGTTTATAACGTTCCCAAAATGGCAATGTCTTTATAAAAGAACGCATGTTTTTTTCAAACCAGCCTGGAAAATCATCCCTGTGACAAAAAGCTACAAATTTGATTGATAAATAAAACCCGAGTATACATGTCTATTTTCTTTTTTTTTTTAATCACAATATATTATAATTTATTCAATTTAGTGCCTAGATTTGTATTTCCATTTTTATAATTACTGAGCCCCAAAAAAATAATTTAAAAAAAAAACAGTAAATCAAGCTAACTGCAAGCAGGGTTAATAATGATTCAACAATCGACGTGTCATTCTGATTAATTTTAATTAATGAAAGTACATGATAGAAATTTCGAGAATTACGAAACCTTTAATCAGTGTTATGATGTGATTTAGATATAATGTACTTCGATTTTAAATTCCCGAAACGTTTAGAAGTTTTCTACAAATGATGACAAATTAAAATTGAATATAATACATAAAAAAAAATTCATTACAAACAAAAAGAACATAATATTCCGAAAATACCCTTGGCCTATCCAAACAATGTACGGAGTTTCCCCTTTTAAAAGCAGAGTCCTTGAACAATAACGCAATCGTCGAAACAGAGGAACCATAAATCTACGAACAATCTAGAGAGAGAAACCTCCGTTCTTGAGAGAGAGAGAGAGAGAGAAGAGAAGATGTCGAAGGAAGTGGGCGAGGAAGGACAGAGCCACCCCCATGGCAAGGACTACGTGGATCCACCACCGGCTCCGCTTCTGGACATGGCCGAGCTCAAGCTCTGGTCCTTCTACAGAGCTCTCATCGCCGAGTTCATCGCCACTCTCCTCTTCCTCTACGTCACCGTTGCCACCGTGATCGGTCACAAGAAGCAAACCGGACCATGTGACGGCGTCGGCTTGCTCGGTATTGCTTGGGCGTTCGGCGGCATGATCTTCATCCTCGTTTACTGCACCGCCGGTATCTCTGGTAAGCAACCTCCCTCCTTCCTTCGGTTTCATTATTGTCTTAAACCAAAATGGTATGCTACCCTTTTCGCTTTCCGTCGAGATCTTTGGTGGGTTTTGTTTGAATTCCGGTTATCACCTTAGCTGCTGTAGTTTTCCTCCCTGCCGGGAAAACCCCTAGAAGAAATCAGTGGAACATTTAAGGAAAAACAACGGTTTGCTTCATGTCTTTCTCAAGTTTAACTTGTCGAAGAACGAATCCTGAATTCGGGTCATACCCTGTCGTTTTTCGTCGAGATCTTAGGTGGGCTGTGTTTGTTTCCCCTCCTTGTCGGGAAAACCCAGGAAGAAATCCAGTCACATTTAAGGAAACGTTGTTTGGTACTAACGATCGCTCATGCAGGTGGTCACATCAACCCAGCGGTGACGTTCGGTCTGTTCTTGGCTCGGAAGGTGTCCCTGGTGAGAGCCGTTGCCTACATGGTGGCTCAGTGCCTCGGAGCCATCTGCGGTGTTGGACTCGTGAAGGCCTTCATGAAGAACCCTTACAACCGCCTCGGTGGCGGCGCCAACACCGTTGCCGACGGTTACAACACCGGCACCGCCCTCGGCGCCGAGATCATCGGCACCTTCGTCCTCGTCTACACCGTCTTCTCCGCCACTGACCCCAAGAGGAGCGCGCGTGACTCCCACGTGCCGGTATGTACACACTCACTCTCTTCCACTCTCCTGGTTAATTTGCTTTATGGGTTTGGGAAGTTTCTAACAAAGATTTGAACTTTATGAGGTTTTATATTGTTTGTTGGTTTTTGCATTTTCTTCCGCTACCTTGGTTGATTTGCTGAAGTGGGTATGTGTAGTTTCTTTCAAAGATTTGAACTTTATGAACAAGAGAGCTTTTTTATTATTGTTTTGTTGGTTTTTGCATTTTCTTCCACTACCTTGATTGATTTACCGAAGTGGGTATGTGTAGTTTCTTTCAAAGATTCGAACTTTATGAACAAGTGGGGTTAATTATTATAATATAAACTAATCTGTGGGTTTTGGGGTGCATTCTCTTCCATTCTCTTGGTTGGATTGTATAAGTTCTTACAAAAGAATGGAACTTTGCAAAACAAGACAGTTAAACAAATGTAATTAATGTTGGTTACAGGTTTTGGCTCCACTCCCAATTGGGTTTGCGGTCTTCATGGTGCATTTGGCCACAATCCCCATAACTGGAACTGGCATCAACCCAGCGAGGAGCTTTGGTGCTGCGGTCATCTACAACAACGACAAAGCCTGGGATGATCATGTGAGCTTTTTGAAAAACCCTAATCTAATTACAGACCAAATCTCCAAGTGATTAATTAAACTAACCCTTGGTTATGATAAATAAAAATATTGTGCAGTGGATATTCTGGGTGGGACCATTCGTGGGAGCCCTGGCAGCAGCAGCATACCATCAGTACATCTTGAGGGCTGCAGCCATCAAGGCCTTGGGCTCTTTCCGCAGCAACCCGACCAATTGAAGTGTGAATCGGATTTGGAACTTATCCTATATTCTTGTTCTTTTGTGTTTGTGAGAGAGAGAGAATGTGGTCATATTTCTTTATGTATTTTTTCCTTAGTTTTTTTTTTAGTCTTTTGTTTTGTTTAGTTTTGGTCTTTTACGTGTACCCTTTGCCCCCTTCCTAGTGATGCAGTTTCTCTCCTTATCCTCTTTTGCTAAAACAACCGGAATTCTAGGGTTAGGAATCTACAACCTATGAGACTAAGACACGTGTCCATCTTAAGTCAGTGAACAGTTCTTTTCTGGTGGGTGTCTCTAGATGGGGACCATGGGAGAAATTTCTCGTTATGTTTCTGCTTGGAAATTAAATTAATTAATTATGGAGTTAATCCTTGTTTTTTCTTTCTAATTAAAATGGGAAAAATTAATTAAATTTCTAGTGCATTGTGGGGGGAGAAGATGCCAGTGGCACCAACTTTTTTATTTGTGGAGTGTCCAACTAACGAGATTCTTCACAACCAAACGAAAGCTGTGGGACCCTTTTAAACTAATCTTTTTCCACGTGTCTGTTGGATACCGTCCTCACATGGGTGGCCCCGCACCGGATAACATCCCCATTCCATTTTTGTGTGCGTCTATATATATATATATATATATACATATGTTCGTTTTCCTCGCAAAAATAATAATGATACATGTGCAAAATTTATTCAAAAATAGTAGCTCTCAACATCAATATCCATCAATGGTAAACAGACACATATATACACGCATCGATGCACGTATACAATATACACACACACACAAGTATACAGCATGCGTGTATGTATGTAATGAAATATAATAATAACTGGAGAGAGAAGAAAAGAAGAGGGACATGGCCCGTATTGTGTCACGTCTCTTCTTTTCAGAAAAGTGGAAAACAGAGAAATATTAATTATATAAATAAAAAAGCAGAAGAGAAAGGGGACCAGACCACTCAGCTCATCTGTCCCTTTTTTGGCCATTGCAGAGACTTAGCCGTTATGTTATGTCTCATCTGAGCTTTAAAAGCTTCTTTTTTTTTGTCTTCTTCTTCACATCACAACGCCATTTTCCCCATACATTTGCCATCTTTAACCTTTACACTTCCGTTAAGCCTTAACCGGATGCAATTTTGGTTGCTCCGGTTAGGTTTGGTTTTCACAAAATGGAACCGAGTTCTTGTATGGTTCTACCCACCAACTAAACCAAACTAAATCCGATTAGAGATAATTTGGTTTAATCCGGTCAACTTCACATAAAACGATTCACTGAGCAGAATTATGAAATAGTGTTACTCCTTGTATTAAACTAGGGTTCATAAAGTTATAGACTTTGCAAAAAAAAAAAAAATGTTTTCCTTTACCAAGAAAAGGTGAAAATATCAAAGGGTTGCAAACACTCTTTACAAGATATGGATCCTAATCAGAGTTCCAACGAGAAAGAACAGAAAATGGAGGTTAGTTTACATCTTTAACAAGAACAAGAATCTCACTTTTTTTTCTTCATGACAGAGTTTAAGTTTGGGAGTAGAAAGTAGGCTAAAGTTTTCACCTTTGTAGTAGTGAGCTTTAGTCGGGTAATGCAGTTCCTCTTTCAAGATTGTTCTTGATCTCCAGTGTGTATTTCCCGAACGCACGCTCGATCTTCTTGTTGAAATGTTCGTTTCTCTCGTTGATCGAGTCGATATCCTTCTCCTCCCGATACCTTCTCCTCCTGCTGATATCTTCTGAAATCTTTGGAGCCTGCCAATAGGTTAATAGCCATTGTAGTTCAATTGAGTAGAACTGGATATCGTGTTATAAGGCCTCGTTTCCATGCGAAAAAGAACTAGCACGAACCTTTCCGTATTGTAGACTAGAGGCATCTCGATAGAACTCGGGATCAGTTTCTTTCATTTTGTTATACTCTTCCAGATCAACCTCGATGTTCTTCGTCCGTTTCTTATATGCGTTGTATAATGTCTTTTGGTTGAATACTGCAGAAGAGACAAACATTTCACATAGCATCATCAATGAGAAAAAAAATTCACATTAGGAGAAGAATGCTTCCATATCACAACAAAGCAGAGCCAAAAATTTGATGAGATTCAGACAACAATACCATCCCAACCAAAAGGGGCCGGTTCCTTTTCCCACTTTTTGTATTTTGATTGTGCAGCCTCTTGAGTATCTAGCATATACGCTTTTGTCATATCTAAACCATTAGCATCAAGAAGTTTTCCAATCTTTTTCTTCCTCTCCTCCAACCATTTCTGTTTAGAGATGCCCCTCGTCTCAGGTGGAGCTTCCATTTTTTTCTTTTCAGCCCCGACATCTGTCTGATTGGCTTTTCTAGCTTGATTCTGCAATAAGGAAACAGAATAACATTAATCGTATCAAAAGGGTTGAAGCAGAAAATATATACCGAGATTTACCATCTTAAGTCTCAGCTCAAACAATTTCTTCTTCCTCCCTGTAAGCTGAGTCACGTCTACTTCAGGCAGTTTATCATCCTCATCTTCAGATGTCTCTTCCTCTTGTTTTTCATCAAGGGAGACCTCCTGCTCGCGAAATTTTGCATCAGAGTAAACATGGCCACCACTAGCTCCAGCTGATTCTGCTAGTGCAAACACAAGAAAAATAAGTTCTAGAAAGGCACTTTTCAGTGTTCATCAGAATCACATGATTTTAGGATATCACCATAAATTAATAACCTATATAGAATAAAAGATATGAGGATGAACGCAGTCAAATTTTGGTATCCCCACACTCGTTATATACATAATACGCAATCTCGACTACATAATCTATGCGAAGAGCTGTTTGTGCGTAAACCATATAAAACTAATCACAGGAAAAGTGAAAACATGAACCATATATAAAAACACCAATGCAATATAGAGAAGGGGTACGAACCGGCCTCCTGCTGCTCCAATCGGGCCTTGGCTTCAGCTATTTTTCTGAAGCAATATTCCACACACTCATGATAAGGATTCGAAGCATTTATACAATCTGGGTGCACATTTCTATCCCTATCCATATTGTACGCTGGTGTTAGCGTATTCCGGCTATCCCTCTCCTGTAGGCTATTCACATCAAAACCACCATTGGAACTTTCCACTAAAAACTCGAAATAACAAAAGATCCAGAAATTAAAATCACGAGCCAAATACACCGTGAAACCAGACCTATTATTGCCTAATCTCAATTGTATTTGTCTTAATGAAAAAAAAAATTACCAAAAGATACTGGCTGAATCTAATAAATAGATTAAAAAAAAGCTCTAATTTGACCCAAATTCGCACGAAAATCCTACTTCCCACCCAGAACAGACACCGAAATCAGATACAGCACCGGATAACAAAGTAGAATAATATTATAATCGCATAGAAAAAAAAGGCGAAATTAAACCCTAATATTCGTTTTGAGCGATTCTAGAGCCATGGCCTCGAAATCACTACCACAGCTCGATCTAATCTAACTCATGATGATCCTCCAAGGCAAAATCAGCCAATACATACGAACTTTCCTCCAATCAACGAGCAAACGAAGAACTAAGCTGAATCTTTATATCGTGCTGTTTGCCCTTTCCTTCTCGGTATCCAACCAAACAATCGGAACGGCATGAACGAATGAAACCCTAAAACTAGAAATCACCGAGTAAAAAAGAAGAAATCAAAGAAGAATCGGAGAGGAACTCACCAGCGACAGACACGACTGCGGAGGCTTCTGATTTTTCTCCCGAGGATAAATTTCCTCTTTGGAGAATAAATATTTTAAAATAAATAAAAAAAACCCAAGCAATTGGAGGTAAACAAATTGAAATAGGAAAACGCGTGGGTTGGTGGGCTTGAATAATGGGCCAGGCCCAACAAAACTTTACAAGAAAAAAAATCGTATATGAATTTTAAAATTATAAAAAATAGAAAATTTTCTACACAAATTTGAACTCCTAAATATCATATGTTATGGTGGTTTTGTTGCGATGTTGATTTTTGAAATCATTTAAAAGTTTAGAATTTATTTACGGTAATTTATGAAATTCCTTTAAAAATTTAAGTTTAAAAAATTAAGATTTAATATAGGATTTAAAATAAACAATATATTTTTTTTGAAAATTTTAAAATTAATATATTCATTTAGATTTTTTTACAAATTTGTATATTAATATCCGATTTTCGCTGATAAATATTTATAATCAATCTCACAAAACCAGATTACACAAAAATTAAAGAATCTGAGTCACAATCCCAAAACATTCATTAGTAAACGCTAAATAGCTTAGCTCGAAGTTACTAACATTTCATCACCTTCATGGACTGACCAAAGGTTTCCATATTCATCATCACATTGACCATAACATATACTGAACACATACATCACAGTAGCTCGTCCAAGAACGACTTCCCTTTGAATTTCTCGGCGTTCGATCCGATTCCCTCGAGCCTCGACAGTTCTTTCTCGAGCTCGGCTACTCGGGCTCGTGTCTCTTCGACCCGAGCCCTCGCATCCACCACTTCCTCCTCCATCCGGGCCAAACCCTCCTCCTGATCTTCCAATTCACGTCTTGTCGAACTCACCAGTCCCTCGTGCCGTTCTTTCGCTGCCTCGGCCTCGTGAGACTGGGCGAAATCCTCGAGAACCGAACTGAGCCATCCGACGTCGATGTTGACGGAATCCAAGTCCTTTAGGACAAGGATCATCTCTTTGACTTTGAGTTTGGTCAACTGGGCAACTGGCGTTGACTTCAGTTCTTGGACCAATGCGCATAGGCACTCGAGGTAGCGAGCTCTCATGGATGCTGACTCTAGCTTGCAGTTAGCGGCTATGTCTCCGTGTCTGTCGATGATGGAGCGTAGGGTTGCAGCCGCTGCTGATCTCACTCGGTATTTTCCTACCGGGAGGCACGATTCCGACATCACGGATTCCAGCTCGATCTCTTCTCCAAGAACGCCATTGTTTTCTTCGTCATCGTCATCACCATCATCGTCATCATCATGATGGGTTTTTGCATCATTGCCATGTGATCTTGGAGGGCTTAGAAAACTGAATCTCCTGATCTCACCCGATGTGCCATTCTTATCATTGTGTTCTTCTTTTCCAAGTGCTTGTATTTCGCCTCCAGTATAATCAACGACCTGGCAGGACAAAAAAAAACGAAAAAGTTTGTGAATTTAAGATTCAAGTTAACCAGTTCTGTTCATCATTAGATTTCCCGCTTTTCGTGAGATAAGTTCACGTTTTCCGCCCAAATTACCACCAACAAGCACATTAAGAGGGTGACAGTTCTGATAAAAACAGAACCATACCTCAAAAAGGGTAAACAATCCAGATCTTTGCCGAGATATATATGCATGTATACATGTATATGCGTGATCATATATGCACGAAGAAGTACCAGGTCATTTGGTGATAGAAGAACGGTTTGGGAGAGC